GACAACTAGAATCATCTTTATATTTTATTTGACGTTCAAAAGTGCCTTTTTAGGTGGTCTAATTGAAGTAAATGATTTGACTTGACTTGATTGCATTTTTCGTACGAAGTAATAAGCTACAGGAGCGAATGATTATGTAGAGAAGCATATATCTAATCGTATAGTTAAGGAAATACTCATTTGTGTAAAGTGCTAGAAGAAGGTTAAGAGGTTCTAAAGTCCTCCATTTAATAAAAACACCTTGAGTTCATAAGACTTAGACTTAACATTAATAAAATACATATTAAAAAAATCCAACTTGTGCCTTCTTTATAATTCTCCTGACATTATGTAATATGCAAAGATGAAGTTTAATTTATTTTATGAAAATACTTTTGTCATCAGGTATGCGGCTCAAATAGCGGCAGCAGTGATAGTGGAGTGATAGAGGCGCTGGCGGAGGAAGTGAGCGGATGTGGGCGGGCCTTAGGGCGTGTTCGCGCCTTATTGCTACTCTCCGCTGGTCCTCTGCCACCCGCTACTGCATCTATTTTGCAACGGGCGTTAGCCGCCTTGAGACTGCGTGCGCTTGATGCTTCAGGTACTTGAATAAGGTTCATTAAATTCACAAGATATACAATTATCGTGCCTTTGTATAAACTAGTCGTTTAGCTATAGTAGTCGCATTACGAACTGAGCCTTCGGGTCATAAATCATATTTATCTGTCTGTCTCGCTCGCACTTACAGGTCTTATGGAGAGGTGTAGTGATGTGCGTAAAAATTGTTAATGTGCATACTGCATATCGATAACGGGATAGGTACGATCGATATGCTAAATTATGTTAAGTATTAATAGGAATAATTTTATTATAATATATGTCACCATTTAATTACTTCAAAACCACGTTAGGGAGCGTTCATGTATTACGTATCGAATTTGGGGGGGTCCTTTTGTATAACGTTACGATGCGGGGCGAGGATTGAATTACACGTTATTGTTAATATTATTTTCGACTTTCCAGTACTTTACACCACATAATGATAACTTTTAGGTATAAAGGGTCATTAAACGTTTTACTATACTTGGGTACAGAAAAACGTTACGGCGCGTTACATGGGGGTGGTGGGGGGTCAATAATTCTTGAACGCTTTCTTAGAAAATAAATTCTCGATTGTGCGTATTGCGTTACGAAGCGTAAGTAATGTAATGAGTGTCGTAATAAAAATCTTATATTTATAGAAAAACAGGTAGCTATATATCGATAACGGGTTGCATTGCGTGCAAATTCCTACTGTCAGTGACATTTATTGCCCGACGATTCAGTTTAAGATGCGTCGACTTTAGTATATTATATTTGAGGTGAATAGTTAAACAACTTTAATATGTTGTGAGTAAAAATCGATGTTCAATCAATTGTCGATGTATCTACATATATCTTGAACATTTTATATTCTGTATGTAGAAGAGGAGGCAGTCGAAAGCGAACCGCCGACAGAGCCAATGAGCGAAGTGAGTCGATGCCAATCACCCGAAGGCAGCGAGGCCGAGGAGACGCTGGAAGACCTTCCCCCAGACTCGGACGAATCCGTCGAAGAAGACGCACCTGCGCCGATTCAGCCTGCAGATTACAGCGCGCAATTAAACGAAGCAGTAGAGGCGCTAGCGGATCGTGTTAGACACCTGTTACCCGAATGAGTGTCGCTCACCCCGTGGCGTCTTACGTCACGAACATTGAACATGTTTAACGTGTAGTACGCGTATGTACGTACGTATACGCGTATACGCGAAATTTGTTGTCGAATTTGAATCGGATTTACATGCTCAAATTGGACTTAGTGTACCCCGAGTCTGGCATTTTGGTAGCAAAGTTGGCTTAATTCATTATTTGTCTCATTTCTTGTCTTCTGTTAGTACGAACACATTTAAATTAAACTTTTGTAAACATTATAACATAACTCGAAGATTCGAGTGCTTTACAGACTCTGTTTAATTTAAATATTTTAATTTATATTTTTGTGTTTTGATAGCGAATCGGTCGTTTATTATATTGGGACGTTTTAAAGTCTAAGAATAAATTCTAACAAAACAAATAATGATTTACCATTACATGTATGTTCTTATTCAAATGCTGTTTAAAAAATTTCACCGATCTGTCATTGCCAATAGCAGATTCGGGGCCATATAGTTTTTGTATCCTTTATTAATAGGCATTTGTCTTTGAATTCTTGATGCTAACTTTTATTTTATCTTATACAATTTACGAGGAGAATTGTAATCTGTTGTAGATGTATGTGTAATTGTTGTTGTTTACTTGTTTTATAAATTTGTACATAATGGTGAAATTGGTGTAAAGCATGTTTTATACATTCCACGTCCGACATCACAAAAATCTCGTGTCATTTCGTAGGAGACTTTTTTATCAGCTTTAAAAGGAGTCTGCAAATCTTGAATTATGATTGACTATGGATGAGAAGGTAAGTTGAAGCAATTTTTGTTACCATAGCAAAAGTTTTTTATCTGTAACACTGTCAACTCGAAAATTGCTGTCATGTTCTGTCACGATATAGGTTATGAACTTGTTACGTTAGAAAAGGTACTAAAAGGTGTTTTTATTTGAAGTTTGTTGTACTTATTCTGAAATTGTATGGCTGGACTTATGATTTTCTGATTATCTTACCTAATTTAAGGCAGGTTGTATCTAAATTACAGTTTTAACAAAAGCCTAACTAGTTGATCAGATCTTAATGTTGGTGAAACATAATTTTCAGTAGACTTAGCGGACTACATTACATTGATTACAAATTATATTAAATGATTATATTCTTTGAAAAAAAAAATTATTTAACTTTTGGTAAAATATGTGAAGTGCATTTGATGTGGTCTGAAAACTAAATTGTTTTAAGTAATCATTGCTTACTATAAAATTGGTTTAAATTTTTATTAAGACTGTTTTTGGTTTTAAGCTGTAGGTTGTATAAGGAAATATAGATATAATCTCAGATTCCAAAAGGAATTTCTTATGAGAGTTTTACTCGTGTGCATGAGAATATCCTAGGTATATCAAGTAATTTTGATGTTTTATTATATGAAAAATAGACTTTCTTTTACATGTCTAGTATGAGAGAGCTTCAAAACAGCTTTGTAATAAAATAATAGTCCTTTTCAAAATTATGTTACGGCTGTGAATGATTTCTAAATTTAAGTCGGAGTGGCATTGCCTGCTAAGTGTCCCATAATTGTATCTACCCGTCCAATCATTTCTATATTACACCCTAGGACAATACCAACGATTATTGAAATAATTTTAGGCAAACATGTCGGTAGTGATTCGTCGTGCAATGGTTAAATTGCAATTATTTCTGGAGTGGTAATAGCGTCTTTAATCAAATATTCTCTGCGGTCGCATTCACTATCCTTCCATTCCCAACTGAACTCGTATGGAAGGTCATTTATGGGTTCTTCATTCAGAAAATGTATTTTATTGTCTACTAGAAAACTAAAGAATCCACAATGCATAATCCCTTTTGAATCTGGGTGTTGATAAATAATATTAATTAATGACCTTATTTCTAAGATTAATTTTGGGTCAAGTAATTTGTAAATATTCATGAACTACCTGTTTAGTTTGTTTTCTAAAATTTCTTAGGTAGAGAATTCAATTTTAGTGTTTTGCTAACTAGAAGATAAACTAATTATCCAACCCAATCATTCATAATCGTCTGTATTTTAGAATTATGGCTCTTTGCAAAGTTATTCTTATGCAGGTATTTGAATGAATATTTTATAGAAATTTACTATAATGCATTTTCAACCCCATAGTGAGTCACTGCCCAACTATACTGCTTGTTTCAGCTAAAATGTTGTGTATATGTATAATTTTAATATTCTGGATATCATGAAAATGGATACCAAATATTTTATCATTTCTTCAAAAAATATAAGAGGTGATATAATATGAATACTTCTGTAATAAACCCTCAGGTAACTAATTAGGGATCACATGAAGCAATAATATTAGTCACTTTTAAATCTTTATCTGTATGTAATTGCTGTTAAATTATAAGCATTTGAGATTCAAATGCTTATAATTACATATTAATCATACTTTGTTAAGTCACTGGTTGATTTTGTAAAAGGGTTATGATGTAATGTGGTGCTAACAATCAGAGTTGAGCGATTGGTTATTGAAGACAAAATATTATATAGTATTTAATTTTGTCCTGATTTTAGAGCTTATTAATATATATAAAATAATGTAGCTACACATTGTAACTTTTTATTTTTAGGTCTTAATTTCCATTTTCCTGCATGCTTCATGTTGTGGTGAAATATTGTATAATTATTATGTACTATACTTAACATGTAATAGAGGTTCAATTGAATAAAATGTGTTATACTTCATTTGTAAAATTTTAAAATAAATACTGTAAATCGGACTGGAAAGCCAAAGTAAACAGTATTTTATAAATGAATGGTTTCACTTTTTAGTTTAGTTACTGATAAATTTTTACTCTTTGTTAAAGGAATAATAATAAGAAAGTAATACAATTAATTTATTTAGACAACTGAATTATCTTACTCTTAATTTCAGTGGGAAACTTTTCAATATTTATTTTAGCACAAGCCAGACAAAATAACTTACAATAAAATATACTACATTCTTTACTTATACACACAGCCTTATTGCATATTGCGCAGTCTGAGCCTAGAACTAGAATTTCTCCTTTGCCTGGGAGGCTAAATGGATCCTTCATGACATAACTTGTGAATTTTAATTGTATATTACGTGAAAATGGTGGTTGAGTTCCTTTATAATGAACTTTCTCTTTGAGATCACAACTACTGCATGTGAAGTCATAGTATACAGGTTCATCAACTTTTTCTTTAGAAGTCTCCATTTATCTGAAACAAAAAAATAGGGGATGTGTAACATAAAATTTTAAGAGGAAAATTGTAACTGTTAAAATACCTACATAGCTAGAATCAAATTTTTAAGTTCAAGAAAATAATGGTCATATCCTATTCACTTTTTTGCAACTCTTTTGGAGCTTCTATTGGCCACCAGTCTGGTTTAACAGCTTCTGCTATATAATTACCAATTCTTATTTTTTTTACATCAAGAGCTTCTTTAATTCTGATGAGGCCTAGACCGTAATTATCAGCAACACCTTTCAGTTTACCTAAGTTTAATTTAGGATTACTATTGGCAGTTATAATTGAGTCTTTTTCAATTTTTTCTTTTACACTTTCTGCAAATTTTAAGGACATTATTCGTTTACGCACAACACCAGTATGATGGACTCTAGCTGTTACTTCTTGCCCTATGTAACAGCCTTTATGAAAACTAACTCCATGAAGATAATCACAATTCACTTCTAAAGGAAAGCTTGTGCCAGGTGGTAAGTCATCAGCACCTTCACTTACACCTAGTTTGTATCTAAAATATCTATATCCATCTTCATTATTATCAACAGTGACATTATTGCAAAGACTATTTATAACTTGAGATTCGGTAATATTTATTGCAGATATTATCCTATGTCCTAGTTCGGTTAATCTAGGGTCCTTATATATATTCACCTCACCCTTAAGATCAATATTCTCATCAATGGATTTATCTTTTGGTGTTATAAGTGCCCACAATTTATAATGATCACTATGAATATTTTCAATTGTAACCTTTCTCCTTAATTTAAATACTTTTAGATGTTTCTCAAGAGAACTAACAATTTTCTGATCGCATTCTAACATGTAGGACTGGTCATTGCCCCATTTGTGTATTAAGGTGTCAAACAGAACCCTGCCTTTGTTATTCAAAAACATAGCATAAACTGACTTGGCCCCTTCTTCAAAATGTCGCATGTCATTAGTAATGAGGCCTTGTAAGAATACTGAGGCTTCATTTCCCGTGACCAGCAGCAATCCTTTGCTTTTTAGAGGGTATAGAATAGATCTCTGGGGATCTATGCAATGGTGCATGCATTTTAGAAACTGTTTGGTAACATATGACTTCTGGCAAAAGTATTTGTTTACCTGATATAGCATGATCAGTTTCGAATAACTAATTGTTGAAATGATAAATATTACGACAAAACACTGCCTAACAGAATTCAATTTTATTTTTAAGCTATTCGTCAAAAATATAAATAAAATTTAAAAATCATATATAGTAAACATAACAATCAGCTGGACTGATTCGTCATTCCACAGACTAGCAAAGCTAAGCTAGAACTTACAAGAGTTACGACGAATGACATTGATACAGTGACTCGCTTAAATTTAAATACTATATGTGCTAGGTAATAGGTATATCAGATATCTATCAGTAATCACTAATCAATATGATAACTTTGGCGATAACTGTCGAATTTTTATTCTAACAAGTTTAATAAAACATTACACATTATATAGTCACTCCTTAGCACAAAAAACTTTGTAAAAAGAGGAGTTTTAATTTGCTGTTTAAGTCAAGGAATTTGTATAACTTGGACAGTAAGGTAAATAACTATGATAGAAATTAGAAACGTACCCAGTCCTGCTCTTCAGGCGATTAACCATTATTAATAATAAAAAACCATAGAAATAATTTATGTTAAAGCGAATAAGGTATGGGACAAATTACAATATCTGTCGATAATTATTGATAATTTTTCTTTCGGCTCATTGGTTTTTGTATCTATGGAATATTTTCTAAACCGTAGGATTGAAAGTCGAGACGGTAATCGGTATCATGTCTAGCACGTTTCAAATATCGTTTTTGACATAAAGGAGTCGTACTTAGCGTAGTCGTAAAATTCATAAATTTAATATTTTCAACTAATTTAATATTATTCAACGATTTTTAAATTATTGCACTTAATGAATTATTTTTATATAATTTAAATTTTCTTTTATAGTTTTTTTTTAAATTTTGGTTCAAAGTTGTGCTTATGGTGATGGTTTTTATTTGTTTTTCATGCAGATATCCAATTCACGCGCTCAAAAAATACTGCAATTGAGCATGCAAAATGAACAGCATGAACTTGATGAAACCAATAACCCTGACTCTGTTTTGTTTGTTATGAACCAATTCCCAAAACCCTACGACACTTTGGTTGATAGCGTAGCTTCTAATTCTGCTTCATCGACTTACTTTGATAATGGCTACATTGACTGTATTGAAAATGAACAGCCTGGCGTGCAGTACATTTCCGATAATCAAAGTTGTTTTAAGACGCAGACATATTATGAAATAGTTGAGAATGTTGTTATTGAAGACATGTTTCCGCCCGAAACAGAACAACTCAGTCCAAGTTTGCTATATCCTCCCTCACCTTTCACCATCACTTAACTACAATCCTGAAAATGCCTCTAATAGTTTTGAACCAACTCATGCGTACCCCTCTACAAGTAATGATAAATCGGATGACAATTTGATCGTTCCTTTGACACAGGAAGAACTAACAGCTCATGAAAGTATACCTCAAATCCCAACTGCCTGTCCTGAATTAATGAATAAATTAGTTGATTACAGTGATTCTGAACCGGATAAACCGGTAATAAAAAGAAAGAAAAGGTGTCAAGTAAAAAAGGAAGATTGGAGTAGTGAAGTTAATACAAAGAATAGAGAAAAGGGTAAAGAATATTGCGGTAAGAAAAAAGTTGATGGAGAGTGGAAAAAAATATATAAAGAAACCAAAAAAGGTTTTGAAGCCTCGTTGTAGTTGTAAGGAAAGGGGAAACAGTGTTATTCAGTGTCATAGTATTTCTGAAGATGACAAAAAAATATTATTTGATAAATTTTGGAAATTGACTTGGGATGAAAAACGAGTTTACGTTGATAATTTCGTAAGAATTGTACATACAAATAGGCAAAGAGATAGGAAGGATCCTCAAAAATCTATAAGAGTTAACACTTTTATTTACCATCTAAAAAAAGGTGAAGATATGATAGTAATCATAGTCTGTAAAACGTTATTTCTAAATACTTTATCCATTGGTAAATCGTGTATCTGGGGTGGGAAGATTGAAGTTACAGGAAAGAATACGGATGAAAAATTACCAGAAACTCTTCCCAGAAAGCCATTTGACCAAGAAATTAAAATATTGCAGGAGTTTTTAGATGAGTTACCTAAAATGCCTTCACATTATTGTAGAAAAGGACAACCCAGACATATATACAACCAGACATTTCATCCAAAAAGCAACTTTATAAAATATATACAGACTATTGTGCGTCAAAACACAAAAAAGCACTATTTATAGCCACTTTTACAAACACCCTAACCATACAAAAAATAGCTTTATTTAAACCGAAGAAAGATTTGTGTGACATCTGTAATGAATACAAGCTGGGCCATATTACCAAAGAGACTTATGACGACCATGTAAATAAAAAGAACGAAGCGAGAATGGAAAAAGAATCTGCTAAAGAAAAAAAGGAATTTGTCTTTAGTGAAGACCTACAAGCAGTACTTTTAGCGTCGCGGTCCAATGTGTCATCAAATTACTACAAGACTAAGCTATGTGTCCACAACTGGTGCATTTATGACATGAAAACTAGCGATGGGTATTGCTTTCTATGGAATGAGGCCGAAGGTGGGCTGAATTCTGATGAGTTCGCAACGATTTTATCTAATTTCTTTACAGATAAAGTAATCCCGAAAATGGGAGATGACAACAGATAGAGATCGCTTATTAGCGATAAGGCCGCCCGTTGCATCCCTTATAATTTCTATGTATTGTGTTTCTTTTATTTGCAACGAAGTGGAAATAAATAAATAAAAAAAAGATACATAACCTTGTATACGGATGGGTGTACGTATCAAAACAGAAACGTAATTTTAAGCAACGCTCTCCTCAACATAGCCATGCTGCATAATGTGGCAATTGAGTATGCACGCAATGATTGAAAAAAAAACTAAAAAATCAAGTAATAAATGTTCCAGCCGAGTACATCACTATTTGCAAGAAAGCAAAAAAATCAAAACCGTATATAGTTGAATACCTAAACTATTCTTACTTCAAGAACTTTAAAAACTTACAGTTTTACAACTCGATAAGACCAGGAAAAATGAAAGGAGATCCTAAGGTACATAAATTACTTACATTTAATTAATTAATATTACTATATTGGATCGATACGTTAAGTTCTGTTTCTCTTTTCCAGGTTACCGACATACGAGCTTTTAAATATGCACCATCTAGAGAAATATTTTATAAGCTTAAATTAACTAAAGAGTATAAATTGCTTAATCAACGTAGGAATGCCCGAATTAACAACATTCCTTTTCATAATTTACCTGACCTGTACAATGAACGCAGGAAAATTACAAAAAAAATATATTTAGATTTACAGCAATTAAAAAACTCTATGCCAAGAGATTACCAAAACTATTATGGCAACCTTCCTCATGAAGCCTAAAATTGTGTACCATTTAATGTTGTCTTTATCAATATATGATTATTTTTAAGTATACTTTATTTTAATTAAAACTTTGAAAAAAAACTTTTTTTTAATGAATCTATCGAGCAAATCAGCTAACTCCTAGACCACATACTTTTACAGAAAAGGAAAAACGGATAACTCCTAAAAACGCTGTAGTATTGTAATGAAACGGTATAAAGGATTTCATAGTATTGATAATAACAGTTTACGATAATATCTACCAACGGCACCTACTTTAAATTTTTTCATAAGTAGTCTACAAAATTTTTATAACATTTTAAGTGTCTCCTGAAAAATTTGCTTGTATGGAGTTAACTGGTTTGCCAATTAAGGTATCGATATATGAAACCTCTGTAGTTTATCTTACCAATAAAAAAAATCTATTTAATCTCAAATCTTAAAAATATCACCAGATATTTAAATATCTGAGTTAGATTTGTACGTGCCCAATAAAAGTATTGTTTTTTTTAGTTTGAATAAATTTATTAATAATTAAATTGTGTTCAAATAACGTACATCTTAAGCTAACCGAAATCTCAAGAAAAGATTAGTTATTAACAATAAATAATTCACATCAAGCTTTATAAAAGTTCCATATTACAACTAAACTTTCCGCGTTTATTATTGAGCATTTCAATTGGCATAGTCGCGAATTTTAGCTCGATTTCTATAATCAATCTAGTTTGTATGGAGAATTCATAACTGTAGGATCGATTGGATGTTTCAGGGGTGAGCCTTGAGCTGAGTTTGGAGCCGTATCCTGTTCATGTTCAATGGAGACCGTCACTAGTTCGGTTATGGTAGGCTCTGATTTTACAGAGGTGGTATCTCGTTTAGTTGGCGAAGCGCTACTTCGCTGTCGGCGTGTTTTTCGCAAATATGGTGTCAGTTTCTGGAAAACAAAATACTTTTACAGCGTACCATAAGTAACTTAAAAAACACTTTTTGTATCATCGGGAATCGATGACGGGTCATCGGAGCTTTTTATAAACATCCCTACACCGTAATAATAATAATAAATAAAAATCTATGAATAGAAAATTACAACAAATTTTAAAAGTTTGGTCCCTAAGGCAGTGTATACGTGTAGGTACCTTCAATACTGGCAGCATTTTCTCGTTGTATTTCGTTGAGCGAGGAAAGCACCAGCTCAGGCACTTAAATCTTTAATTAGTGTCTGTGCACTTGAAACCCACAGCCCAAGCGTCTCTACTCCAAAGGAAACAAAATCAAAGTTGGAATATAGACTCTTATATATATAATGTATTAGTCGATTATTAATTTCCGCCAGCTTATGTGCTGGTTCTAGGGGGAATGAAATAGTAGCTTTATACATTTAATTATAGATTTAAGCGTACACGGTACGTACGTGCGCTTCTCTGGACAGCTATGATCTATGGACAGCTTTAGAAATTCTTACGTACCTGCAGATTGTCTTATAATAATCTATTGATTCGATTGATTGTCGACTATTATTTGTAAATTATATATATCATAATTATATATAATATCACAGCGGAAAAATAATTGCAACAGTATATGTTTAACTCAGTACCTACATTTTGAGGGTCCTTTAAGTAAGCTCCAGTGCGTCGTACTTCAAAGTCAGGTGCTGCCAGGCACCGAATGAGGAACAAAGCGACTGCACAAGCCCAAGAAGCCCATACGCCCGCGCTCGCAGCTCGCGTCGCTGCTGTACGCGCCCCGAAAGACCAAGACGCTTGCCATGATCGCTCTAAATACGGATCCACAGACGAACACCTGGATATTTCGGGATTTTAATGTGCATATAATTTTACAAAATTAGACTCATTTTAAATATAATAGATTGTGTATTTATAATATAACAATGATTAATTTATTACCTAGCCTATACCATGAAATTTTGTAAATTCGCCATTGCCTAAAATGATATAAAAATAAAAATAGAAATATTAATTTAAAAAGTTTGGTTTGGTTATAAAACGCAAGAATTGTGGTGCTTATTCGTTGAGCGAGGAAATCACCAGTTATAGGCCTACCAGCATTATCTACCAACTTAAATCTTTGAAAATATATATGATCTTACGTTGTCGCATTTGTAACATTTTGAAACGCTGTACAGAAGTCCACCAGGCCGTTGTTTGTCTTAGTGAAGCTTATTCCAGTCAGAATCACCATCACGATAGCGAATATTAGTGCTGGGGCCAGGATGCGCCACGGCTGGCGAAGACTGTAAACAATTTGATCGTATTTTAGTGTTATCATTTGAGGTTAAATTTAGAGCCGAAACAAGCAAACTCCCAAGCGAGATTAGAGAAGTATCACTGAATAAATTCAAAACTCACTTTAAAGTTAAATTAATCAATAAAGCTCTTTATAAATTTGACGATTATTTAAATGATCCCAATCCTTGGGATGATTTGTTCCAGTTCAAATATTTATGGCTGCTCTGCCTTATTTGTATGACTCAAAACTTGGCTATTAAAAAGAGTGACAGAGTTGCTTGTTCTTCTCGTCCGCTCTACGCCCATGACTTGTGAACTAGTAGTAAATGTAAATTCAGAATCAATTTATTATCTTTTTTGTTGACGATCTGTATGTACTTGGTTACCTATATGAATAGTTATTTTGAGTGTGAGTTTGAGTTTGATTACATTTATCTCTTACACGGCACAGGCAATAAAAGAACCAACCAAGATTTAGTATTTTAACATTTGTTTGAAATTATATTTGACATTTTGATCCTTATGCTAGTATTACTCATGGTGACTCAGCCTTCAAGTTCAGAAAGATTCCGATTATGGGGATATCGAGAATTCGATCTACATTATTAAATTCTATCCTCTCCATCTCGACGCCTGGTATTCCACAACACAGCGCACGCATCGCACGCATTTTAAAGCACTTTTTGCCGCGCATCACGTCTTCGTGGAACCAGCTGCTAGAGGTATTTCCAAACCGATAAGACCGAGGGGCCTTTAAGAAAACAGACCATTCTCTGAAAGGTCGGAAACATACCAGCTAGCCCCGGCGTCCCATGTGTCATTGGGCGGCGTTTATCACTTTATTCAAAGTTACCGCTTGCTCGTTTACCTCCTGTCCCATAAAATATATCGAATTAGAGAAAATTTGGCAAAATAACTGATATTAAAAATTTGTTTCTACTTTGACTTCTGGGATAATTATAAATAAAGATATACCCGGATCTAGGACGTCCGCCTCCTGGACACATGGTGAAGAGAGTGGCCCAAGTCGCAGCAACTATGAAAGACATCACTGGCGCATACTCCGCGAGATCACAATCTTGACTGAACAGTGTTCGGGAGGTGTCCAGGATTAGGCGGCTTTCCAATGCTGCAACATTTGTTGTAATAAAATAACATGTAACACACACAATCAAGTGAAAAGTCAAGTGTGTTTCCGAGGGAATCAAAGTTGTCCAACAAGTACGAAGAGGCACAGATGCGAACACAACATTGTAACAGTTTTTACTCATTATACAATAATCATGAATCTAATAAAACATAATTATTTATTTATATTATAGCTTAAGCCTTCCTAACGAGGTACGCCACCGACTTCCACTTACTGCCTTAAAGGCTAGCAACGCACTTGCGAGCTTTCTGGCTTTGTGAGTGTCCATGGGCGGGGGTATTACTTAACATCAGGTGAGCCTCCTGCCAGTTTGCCCTCCTATTACATAAAAAAAAATATATAAACTGCGCCTAAAATTCTAATACACAGACAATGTTTTCATTGAAAAAAAAATCTTACTTGAAATTTCCAAGTCATCCATCACGTGTGTTTGTGTGTTACTCTCTGTATCATTTTTGTACTTGTCTATTATATTTTTTTCAGTCACATCAGTACTGTTAGCTTTGTCATCTTGAGCATTATAATTTCCATTTTGATTGAGCGTATTTTCTATTGGCACATCCACCATTTTGAAGCTCAACTGGCGCGGAGCAAGCACACAGTTATTGTCGACTAGCTGCATAGTGTTTTGAAGAAATACGTAGTTCATTATGGCGAAGCTGGCAGCAAGCGCGTAAATAATTAAATGCCACACTAAAAAAGGTTTAAATTGTCTTAAATACATTGTACCTAATATAAAACTAACCTTGGGGCTTAAAACTTTGAATGATGTCATTGCTAAAAATGTCGCAATATCTTTTTTGGATAATAAACTTCACTAAACCATTTAGTACATGATAAACGCCAATTTTTAACCCCAATCCACAGTAACAGGCATTGTAGGTACGAACTCAGCATCGTATTTTTAACTTTTATTGAACATGCTTGACCATGACAATTTATCTTTCATCACAAAATTACTCGAGGAAAATTGTGAGTTGCTTACATCGTGTAATTCACAATTTTCCTCGACTTCGACACAAATAATTAAATCCTTTATCATTAAGTATTCCATAGTTCAGGGTTATATGTGTAAAATATTTACCTATCAAACATAATCTAATACTACAACTAAATATAAAGCTGATTTTTTTTATAATAAATGTATAAAATTAGCGAAGATAAAGAAAAAGAAAAAAAAGTCTTTTCCACGGCCTTGTTGGAAGTCCCATCAAGTCTCCGAATAGCAGAAATTCTGGTGTGGGTCGAGTCCCTCATATCCCTGCTATTTTCGGGGGCACGGGATATGTCACACGTCGGATAACAAAAGATATGAGATAGGCTTTACAATATCACGATACGATGCTGAAAAACCGCAGAGCATTGGTAGTATACTATATGATGTATGTTTAAAGTAATGTCTTGATATAAGTCTAATGAAAATATTGTATAATAAATCTATATGTTCACAGATTTCACTAGCAATAACTACTTAATTATTTTATTTATGAATTGTCTGCTAAAAAGGTGGGCGTATCGATTGAGATGTGTTAATAAACTTTTATCACCTTCAACGTTCAAACTATCGCCTTATATAGCAATGTAAACAATCGGTATCGAATAATTGATGGGTGTAAATTGCATTTTTGTTTTGTTTCTATGACTAAAACGAAATAATACTTACTAGCGTGCTTTTCATACTCCCAACGCTCTATGGGCTTAGTTTATGTGTATTTTTCGGCGAGAATTTTTCTTTACAAGCAATAGATATATGAAAAGTCTTCAGTGCCTTACACATAGCGTCGATTTTGTTAAACTTGGCGCCGAATGTTTAAAACAGTCTTAATTTAAGTGGCAACTAAGCTCTGTTTCGATTCTGAATTTAACGCTTAGAATTAGATAAGTTTTACGACACATTCCCTAACTTGCCTTTGAGTTTTCTAAATGTACTAAAAATCCTCTAAACTCATATTAGGAAATACATTTCTAACCAACCTTTCCATGCCTTGAGCTTGTTCGACGCTTTTTCGTCCAAATCCAACTTGTCATAAAGTAGAATAGTCATGTTTGTTGTTTTTCTGTTCACATTTTAATCTGCAACACAATATCTTATTGGATTATTTCCGAACAATACTTTTTTTTGATGTGAAACATCTATAGCCGCACGTAAAACCGATTTCTGGCGTGGCGACGCGTCTCCACGCTATATGATGGTATATATATAGTCTATATGCAGTAGTGTGTACGGTGTGTGTATTTCGAAGTCACTGATTAAACGAATTAAGTAGTCACGATTTGATATACATTTTTGTATTTAATGAAAATAAATGTTTATTCAATAAATAGTCATTGTTATCTGGAAAAAAAAATCGTAATATTTTATTTTATCATTGTGACATATTTAGTTCCTATCACAATCTGTTCTTTTCTGTTTTTCATAATAATTTTACAAAATAATGTCGATGTTTCACATCTGCCAGGCGTCCCGTGACGGCTCACATTTTTTTTTAATGGCTCTGGCACGGTTTGTGCATTAGCCAGCGTCAAGTATAGGATTTTTTTATAAGTCGTGCTGGTCTTTAGAAATTCGACCATGTCCTCCATGTACGGTTTAAGCACTCGACCGGTACCGCACAACCCTCCCAAAGGCCAAGAACAAATTTTAAATTAAATTAAAACTTGCCCTCGAACCGGGAATCGAACCCGGTACCCCTCACCTAGCTGCCACTCGAACAATACTTAAAATCGTTAATTATTGTAATAGTATTCTATGTACATATTATGTATTCTTTCTCTGGCTATATTTTCAGTGTAACTGTTTGTTATTATATATAATTTATGTTGGCTGTAGGATTACGAAATAAATAAATAATTTTTTGTAGTATACAACTTAGAAACGCTCAAAAATGGTAGGTTACCTAAGACTGACAATTATCAAGTATGAATATAATTCTCATAATTTAGACAAATTATGATCTATGGAAGATAATATGAATAAATAGTTGTATTGAACATTTTATTAATCTGTATCGATTTGCTTGAAGCAATTATTATGAGGATAAAAGAGAAAAATAATGAATAAGCCTGTTACGATACTAGGTTACTATCGCAGAAAATTGTGGTCGCTGATAATATATATGCATGGAATTAATTAGTGTTTCCTATTCCCAAAGGACTGTATTGTGTTCATTTGTATAATTGACGTTGACCGTAACAATAAAATTTATCGCCCAATTTAAATATTAAATTTGCGACATTCACACACCTTGGTTTAGTTTACCAGGCATGCGTATATTTGAAGGGGCTGGTTTTCGATTCACCGCGAAAAAATACTAATTAAATATTTCAAACGGAATCAAAGAGAAAGGTTATAGTGACAATATTATTGAAGTTCTGCTTAGTGCTAGAATTACAAAAAAAAATATACATTATATTATATTTATAATGTGTTTTCACGGTCACGTCGAACACCAAGGCCAACCTGTTTTACTACGTAGCTTTTGATAGTTTGTGTTTTTGTATGATAGGGATTTTTAACATGGCTTTTTGTTTATAATGTGGCTTTGTGGAAAACGAAAAAGGTGTATTCATGCTTCTAGGCGATTGTTGAAGCGATAATTGTTTTAATTTGTAATGCATATTATGTAAGAAGCCTATAAAGAAAACCAATTGGCTGCAAAACAACTTTATGCATTGATACTAACAAGTAGCAAATTTTATAGTAGATTTTTGCTACTTGCAAAATATTATTGGCATAACTTCACATTTGGGTGCTTTACAGCAGGCTCGCGTCTCAGACATTAAGGGTTATTTAAGTCAATTAAGAGGTAGGAATAGACTTGATTTTCCAGCTTTCAGACTTTGCATCAAGAAAACCTTAACAAAGCGAGGCTATTACACTGTTCGGGAATTCATATACGATGACAATGTATGGGCACTAATGCCGCTATAAGATGGTGAGATGGCTTGAGTTGGCATGCATAAGTGTACAAATTGTACCAAAATGATTAAATGACTCTTTGTTTTTGTTTATATTTTTCTGAACAGGAAAATACAACTATAACAATTACCACTTTTTTTTTTTTTTTTTAATAGCCTCACGCAGAGCGTATTGCCACAGACAAAGAACAATTATCACGTTAACAAAATACTCCCCAATCCGGTTGGTCCCCGTGAAAGCGACCATAACATATGAAAAACCAAGCATAACAATAAAACTGGCGCTCCACGTCACAATAATTAAAAATATGTACTTTCAACGTAAGATCATCCAAACAAGACAGTTAGATCAGTACAATGCATTGAGAAAAATCTGAGAAAAGAAGGAAGATAAATGGGAAAATATAGAGGGGGCTTTTACCCTAAAAGTGGCCATATAATACTAGACTGCAAAAAAATGCCTTTTGTATGGATCATAAAGTTCTACTAAATAAATAAAGACAACTTTTATTCATTTAATAAAACACTATTTTGACCGGATTGAAGTTATGTATTATTATAAATTTACAACTATTTAACATAATTTTATATTATGTCACCGTGACCACGCACGCTGTAAAGCACGCGAAACGTCGGATAAATTTAAAATTATGTTAAATAGTTGTAAATTTATAATAATACATAACTTCAATCCGGTCAAAATAGTGTTTTATTAAATAAAGACAATTTTCATATATGCGAAAAGAGCGTGAATTTTAGTAAAGATATTTTATTGAAAAATTTTATTTGTCAAACATTTTATGAATTTTACTCTGTAGTCATAATTAGCTATGTGATTTTTCGCTGAAAGTAATCGAGCCTTATATAATCTTATAAATACTAAACTTACTGCAGTTCTTGAAATGATAGTTTGATGTAATTAGCCGAATATTCAGAAATCCCCAATCTGGGTGCAAGCCAACACAGCGTGGTTCTTTTCACGTATACATCAATTAAAAAGTGTGAATCACTAGCTTGTATACATTATCATGAATAATAAATCATGCTTTGGGATCACATTGGGGAAATTTGAAAAATTCGGTCTAAAATTATCGCGATGTGCTCTCATTGCTACCGCGCGTGGTCATAAAACAATGAACTTTTTAAAATAGATTTTTAGAACACTGCAACGATTTAAAAATATTTCAATGTGTTATCGATACAAAGTTTTATTAAATCAAGCTTCAAGAGTTGGATTCACATAGGCATTAATTGGTAGAAGAGTAATCCAATTCTTGTTTGCAAATACTGTAATGCCCTGTACACCATACCAATACACATCAATTATATTAGATCATAAGCAAGCTATCAAAGGAAAAAAATAAACCAACAGCCACAAAATAAAAACTAAAAATAATCATAACTAAAACTAGAAAAGATAAATAATAACAATTAAAACCAAAACTAATTCATTTGGTTAAACTTAAACCTCATTAAGAGCAGGATTGCATCATAAAAAATAATTTTTAAAAAGGCTTTTAAGAATTGGTGCGCTCTTTTCCTAGGAACCTAACTCGAATTGGTTCGGAAATACTTCAATGGGCAATGATAATTTTGCTGGTGTGCGGCAAAAACTGCCTTAAGAGACACGCAGTTGTAGATCGACGAACGTCGAGGTGGTCAATGAATTTTAATTCTTCTATCAAGGATACAGATATTGAGTATTTCAATTATCTTTGCACTAGGCACTTGTATAGGCCGGAAACAAAAATAACCAGATGAAATCTGGAGCCAAAATCCACATGAGGTTGTAGCACCACTGAATTATTATTCATAATGATACATTATAAAGAAACACCTCCCGGTGCCTTCGCAAAAAAGGGGCTCCTACAATTGATAATGTTTTGAATTCCGACTAGTAAACACTAGTAAAAAACTTTTCTTTTGATATATTTGTATATGTTTGTTAAATACTAAAAGAATCTACTTGGTCTAACAATAAATATTATTGATTGAAAAACTAGACTGAAAAATATTGTTCATTTTATTTGGAAAATAACTTTGTAGCCCCGAGGCTTCCAGACCTCTAAATCCGGCCTTGTATAATCTTTCTTCGGGGTATGAAATAGGCTACTGACTGTGCCAGTCCTTATTTCGTAGTTATGTATTTCACTATGCGGCACAGACACACAAAAACCTCTTAACATACATTGTATTGGATTGAGTTTGTTGATCTCGTAACTCCATCAGAGTCTATAATTAAATTCAACTCATAATCTCGTCAACTGAATGACGTAATTTCACATTCGGTATTGTGTTTGTGAATTGTGGCATGCATGGCGTAACTTTGGCCATCTACCAACCTACTTGTACACAAGTCACGATAAACAAGAATTATACATAAAGTTTACGGAACTATAATATTACAGACAGACATAACATTTAATACTAACGAAACACACAGACAGATACACACAAAATAATAATCAAAAAATGAAAAATCACAAAAAATTATGAAAAAAAAAGAAACAAGGTACATTTTAAGTGTGTAATGTGTGTGTGTTGTGGTTGTAACTGGCCATGGCTCAGCATTATGGTGTGGAGCAGACGTGTTCCACAGCGTGGTCATCCTGCCAGAGACCACAACAGTTAGTTCGCGCCTCAAATAACAATAGTAAAAATTTACGATGAAGATGTGTCATGATGTGTGTCTAATAGTAAATAAAAAAAAGTGCATGCTTACAAAGTACACATGTCAGAAGTGAAACTTTAGATTTCCGAGGCTTAGAGGGAGGCAAAAAGGAAGAAATGTTAGGAATTTTATGAATTTAATTGTCATTAAAATAATAAAAACACGTGGCATTTTAATATACAATTCGTCATTTGAGATTTCAATAAAATATAAAATACTAATATTTCATAAATTCTCTTTACGAAATTTTAAAAATAGAATTTCTATAAGGTTTTCGCCCTTCTCACACTCGCTCAATCGGTCTCATTGCTCTCTCCCTTTTCTTCGACAAAAACGATGCACATCTTCGTGACGCTAATATTATTATTATTGCGTTTCATCCGTAAAAATGTTACCCTCATGCGCCTAAAGAAGTTTCACTTCAAGAATAATTCTTACAAACTACTATAAGAAATTGATAAAAAAATTGTTCGTATTAAAAACTACTTACTACGATTACTGATTAACTGTCGATTTAAAACATACTCAGGTATACTTATTTCCTTATCAGTTTGTCATTGGTTTCCGATAAGCTATGCGTTTGTAGGTGAGGCTTGGTAACACTTTCAACTAAGTTAAAAAATATCAACGTTAATTTTTCGTTCAATGTGAATTTTTATGTAACGAAGCTTTTCCGTCCGTGGATCAATCTGGATCTCTTATTCAAAAGTCGCGCCGCGGCAACCAGATTAGTTGATAGTTTTTTAATTTATCTCTTAATGAACCCGTTTTAGATTCAGGATGAATGGGAGAAGTAGTGACTTCCGAAATATATAGGCTATATTTTGGGCCATCTTTTACATAAATAATTATCAATTATTAAATAAAAAATATTGTTATATTACTTTTTAGTGCATTTTGAAAGTGGTTTAATTTTTGATAAAAAAATTCAAAATTCTATTTTTTTTTTAATAAGAATAAAACGTTTAATAACGCGTCGCCACCGTAAAGGTGTTGTCTGATTAAACAGATCGTACCACCACAAATTATAGAAAGATGCAGGACTGAATAAAGGTTATATATTTAATAACAATTTTCAGTAAAAGTATAATGTGAACCATTCATTATTATATATCGGGTGTGGTAACGTTTCTCGGGTTGCCCATATTTTGCCAGTTGGTAACTGTTTCAGAAATAGGTCTAGGGACTCTCGCTGTCCACGATTACTGAAAAGCACTGGGACTTTTGAGTAAGTATTTTAATTTGGAATAGAGACTCTTGGCCGTGGGGTTCAAGTGCAAAGGAGCTAATTAATGATTTAAGTTGGCGCCTGGTAGGTTGTACCGGTGACCCCAAAACGGTTGCTTTCATTGCTCAACGAATTATCGCAACACAGAGAGGAAATGCTGCTAGCGTTAAAGGTACACTGCCACAGGGACCAAACTTTTTAAATTTGTTTTGATTTTCTATTTAATAATTTATATTATTACTTTGTAGGTGAAGAAAATTGTAAATACTGTATACTTGATTGTAAATATGAAATATGTTTAATAAAAATGAAATAAAAAATATTATAATAAGCACAAATTTTATTTGCGCAGATCAAATATAATTGAAAGAATTAACTGTAACAATAAATAATTATCCTTATAAAATGACGCCAGGAAAGCCCGAGAGTTAAGATATTCAAGGCTATAATAGTAACTAACACACAGATCATGTCTAAAAGTAAACAAGATGACATAATGTGATATAATTTTGAAAACGTAGGTTTTGAAAAAACCCCATGACAACGAATCTCAGGAATGTTTCTATTTAATAAAATTGGAAGAAACACATTTAAAATAATGTATACATTTAACACAAATAATATACCTATACATTTAAGAAAACTAATTACTTTTAATGGAAACACTAAAATAATATATATTTTAGCAATAACAGTTTGACATTATAACGCGTGAACGCATAAAAATAATTGATATTTTAATTACATTATTACTAATTCCCTATCATATTAGTAATTCCCCCTACAAATTCAAAATTTGTTTATTAGTTGATTTTTCTCATAGAAAGCGATGAGACAGATAAAAAACTGTTTCAACGGCATCGAACACAGAACCTCCTTTACACATTATGCGTGAATTATGGACACAGTTATGTCTTGTAGGAAATTGTAGGATAAATGCCATGTTATTGTTACTGAAGTTAAAATAACAAATAAATACAACTGAATAACATACCTTTTATAAATAATATTCAATCCATCCAATTCCTACTGATAAAGTGCATTCCATATAAAATGACTTAAATTTTCATTCTAAAACTGATAACGCGAAACTATTTATAAAAAGTTGATATAATAAAATACAGTGAAATATTTTGCGGTAACTGCTATGCGCTGCTGTGGGTGACTGAATCAGACAGCCACCGAATGCTCAATTCCTGAATCCAGTTATTCAGCATTAATAGAAAATGATTTAGCTCTTGTTACAATAGTATTAAGTTCAATTTCCTGCAGCAAGCAAGACTAGCGTATGAAACGGTATGAGGAACATGAGAGCAAAAGAGACAGCAATATATTCTAGTGTCTTTAATAATCCACAGCTTACGTAACGCAGGTCATGCATCAATATTAATCTGTGGAAGGAAATTTCTAAAATACTGCCACCTATTTGACAATTGTTGAACTACGTGGAAAATTGGTAACTAACTTTCTTTAAGGTGCGCTTACACGAGGGCAATAATTGCTCGGCAACACGAATGGACCGATCTGGAGCAATTAATGGAGCAATTTCAATAAATTCAATAAATTATTTCGGCGATATTGCTTCTTATTGCTCCAGATATTTCATATCGCTCAATGTCGCAGATACGAATTGACGAATATCCAATGGACTTGGAAATTCCTAGCAATTTTTGTATATATCTCATTCGCACTTGTTTGTTTTGCGGCTTGCCGTCTTGCTTCGCGGTGAGAGCGAGAGGTCTAAATAATAATAATTTCTAATTACTTTATTCAAAAGTAATTCAAAGTCTGTTCGTGACATTCTAGTAAAGTTTTTGAATAGGTAATATATCATCTAATTATTTACACAATGAAAATTGCGGCCAAAAACGATCGCACCCAGATACGCCTTTCTTGTACGATGCCTTTTCTTTCTTTTTTTGTTTCTGATTAATAATAAAAAAAGCGCTACAAGCCGCCGCATCAAGAACAATGTCGTCTGTAGCGAGCGAATACTGAATTGCTCGTGTAGGACAGTATTGCGTAGTTGATGAAGTTGCGCCATATCGCTCAATATTGTATTGCGCAGTATTGCTGCTTGTTGCCGTTGCCGTAAATTGCTTGATGTAGTCGTGACGTCATAGTTGACGAGTATTGACTGGAATTGAGCAATTTTAGTTGCCCGTGTAAGCGCACCTTTAGAGACGAATTTAAAACAACAAGATCCTTCCTATTACACGGGTATATACACGGGTCGATTTTCGCCGTGCGGCGAGTCGCTTCACAAATTGCCTCACCAAGCCGCATCGCTAGCCCATTTACACAGGTTACTAAAATCGCATACGGCTCGGTCATTTCTATCGAAAATGTTGAACAGAATAGCCGTTTGTGCCGGAATTGAAATAATTAATTATTCAATTATTCAACAATTGCTTAAAGAACAAAGAGAGAAGAAAAAACAAAAGGAAAGAAGAAAACGTAATGTTTGGGTACGAGGATGGATTTCTCGACGTAAGGTCTTGGGTGCTTTGGATACTTTATTGGTTGAGTGGAGTTTAGAAGATCATATTTTTATTCATGGTTGTCACGATACATATACACAGAATCGCTGTAGTAAATAAATACACTAGCGTGCGCGAAACATCTTCATGCGGCGAGCGATCGCCTGCAACTGATCGTTTACACGGTCGATTTTAGTCACCAGTCGCATGCGGCCGGTCGCCGCGCGGCCAAAGTCGGATGCTAGTAGCATCATGCTACCCAACTTTGGGGCTTGCGGCTTTAGTCACTTGCGACTTAGCCGAATTGCCATTTAGATGGTCGATTTACGCCGCGCGGCAAAAATCGTGCGGCTTTAGTCACCCGTGTAAACCCCCTTTAACTCTCAAACAGATGGCTTGTTCTGAATTTATATTGTACATTAATTCATTTACATTAAACTTCATGAAGGTACAAAAAAAAAAACAAAGTTACTATTGGAGTTTTTATTTATAATAAACATGTTAGTTTAATACACAGTAGGTAATGTTTGATATTGGTGTGACGAAAAAAGAATTTAAGCATATGAATTTATTTATTTTAGAAATACTTAGGCTAGTACTAAATTTTTTTAGAAATATAGCATTTCTAATAATGATACAATATATTTACAGTTAAATCCACCTCTTACAATCCCATATAATACTGTTAAGTAAGCTTAGAATCACCTCTAAGCCAAGCAGTCTTAAAAATCCATCAACCGACTTTGATCAACAGAATACATACGGCCTTACACATATCGGGCATCTGTCAATTGCAGCCAAGCATCTCCTTAAGCAGTCAGCATGGAAGAAGTGAGCGCATGGTGTCACTCGAGCCGACTTCATGGCCCCAAGGCACACCGCACACACATCTTCTAAAGTGGATAATTCTTCTGGCGTCGCCTTTCGAAACCTGGCTAACGAATCACAAGCTTCGTTGAACTTAGTCAACGCCTCTCCAAGCTTATATCGTCCATGAATGTATACGCAGACGTAAGCGACTAGAAGTGCCAGCCTCCATCGCTCGCCCCAAGCTAAAGCTGGTACTAATGGTACAGCAATAAAAGTAGTAACGCTCCTAGCCCAAACCCCACAATATAAGGTCTCCATACCTTCTAGTCTCTCCAACTTGAGAGCACTAAGAACTAATGGCCATAACTCGAGGAATGTCTTTTCTGTTAATAGGTAATAAATACCCGTTATGAGGCAATATAACAGAGTGGGTCTGTAATGCTCCAAACCCTGCTCTAGACCCAGAGTCAGGAGTATGAAAGTCATTGTAACAATGAAGGTGACAACTTTAGTCCATTCGAGAACAATCTTTGTGGCGGACATCGCGAGGTGCTTAACTTGGGAATGACGCGTCACATTGACGTAGGGAGTCCAGTCTTCCTTAGTGCATATTTCTCGTATGTAGTTGACGGAGTAGGTAATCACGTTGTAGAACATGAGCGAGTAAAGGCAGGTCAATCGTCCACGTGAAACCAGGAGGCGATCGCAGGCTGTGAAGATGAGCAACTGGAATACAAAATAGAAAAATGTAATGATAATAATTTATGTGCAAGAATATGGTACAAAAACGTTATGGTGGTACAATCGAAAGTTCGCATATTCTGACTCACATAATGGCGTGCAAATTTCTCTTAAAAGGAATATTACATAGAAGTTATATCAATAACATAACAATAATAAAATATCACATTATTAAAATATATTATTATGTAGCCAAATTAATATTAATTATAATGTTTCACGCAAATAATCATTAATAGAATAAAAAGTTGTTTTACAAATATTAGAGGCAATAACTAAAGCATATGTGATACGTCGAAATTAACCATAAAGAATATAATTACAGCTGACAAATTGCGATATTTCAATAATATAAAGATTTATGAAGTTATTTATTTAGATTAACGATTTTTACCTTTAATTACGAATTACCTACGAATTCTAGATTAAGGACAAATCGATGTAACTGGACAAAGATCTCGCTTTATAACAAATTTTCAACTAAGCGAGTTTTTTTTTATAGAACAGAGGGCAAACGGGCAGGAGGCTCTCCTGGTGTTAAGGGATACCGCCGCCCATGGACACTCTCAATGCCAGAGGGCTCGTGAGTGCGTTGCCGGCCTTTTAAGAATTGGTACGCTCTTTTTTTGAAGGACCCTAAGTCGAATTGGTTCGGAAATACTTCAGTGGGCAGCTGGTTCCACAAAGTGGTGGCGCGCGGCAAAAAAGTGCTATATCCGCCCTCGTCCTAAGGTGGTCAAAGTATTCATGAAAAAAAAAAACACACATACCACGATTACATATTCATACAAAATAAAATAACATACCTGGCTTATCATCGTAGAAAGATTGTTGAGTTGCAGATAGAGTCGTTCCGCTCGACCTATAGGTGAATAGGCTGCTTTAAATATGAACAGGACGCGTTCTACCGGACCACGGAGTCTTCTTATAATCTCTTAAAAAAAAAGATTAATCGTTATACGCCTTGCGTAGGGTTAAACAACAGGGTCCTAGTTTTTCTCATGCTGTACCAAATCTCACAGTGTACTTTTTAAATTTTACCTTCTCTATATAAATAATATTCTCGTGTCACAATGTTCGTTCCCATACTCCTCCGAAACGGCTCGACCGCTCATAAAATTAAGTAAGTCTGAAAATCCACCGGCTACTATCTATCTTTCAAACCCCTAAGTGATAATCTTTAGTTTTAATTTTTAGACAATTTTTTTTTTAATGATACAACATACATACTTAAATACATACAACCCCTAATTTCCACCCCTCTACGATCAACCCCTATTTTTTATTTGTTAATTAAAATTTTATGAATTGAACTCTGAGGTTTATATAGAGAAAAATTCACAGTAAAACCTAAAAAGTTTTCATTCCGGAAAACCGAAGTCTCTGGGGTAGCATAGCAAAATGTTCCATGTTAGTACTTCATGTACTAAAAAGGTAGGCTAAGTAAAATTACATTCAGGAGAAACGAATATACTTTTGGTTATGTAATTGGTTATTGAAGAGTGGAATTCTCCGATTGTGGTCTTGAAGATGTCATTTTGTGGTGTCCATTGAACTTGTCAACTTTCCAACTCAATAGATTTGCATTAATTATCTTAATTTTTTATAAACGACTTTCCATGGATGGTTTTATAAAATGGTATCCGTACTGAAGCACTGATATTAATTTTTCAGATTAAAATGAAAACTAATGCACACACAAATACAGTATTTTAGAAGTTTTTTAAATATAAATCTTGTTTAGTTATATAAAAATCATCAATTGCTATTATTATATACAGTAGACATTAAACGTTTTGTATTGTTCCACGTACATATGAACTACGGAAAAGATCTGGAAAGGATCTGGTCACCAAAGACACAAGGATGTCCCTGGTGTGGGGGCAAGCGTCTGTATGATTAGCTACCATATTATAATTGTGACTCAAATATCTCTTTTCACTTAGGCAAAAATAGGGAATAGTCCGAAAAGTTCGCTTATTAAAATTATAATTTAGAAGTTAAAAACAGTTCAAAATACAGCATCAATAGTCACGAGGTACTGTTTTTTTTTTAAATAATTGCGACGAACCCTGCAATTATATGAAATACTAATAATATGGACTGTGAGCGAAATTTTACAATTACCCCTTTCAGTACATACATGTACATGTACTTTACATTTTCTAAATTTTATTTATCTTAAAATCTTGCTTCCCTTTTGAATTAACCCAGTCGAGGACGAACTAGTAGTACCAAGAAAATCCCTTAGAGACAATTCAATATAAAAGGGCAACATTGCTTCAAAGAAAACAGTTCAGAGCTGGACTCCTCTGGAAGAGACACTTCAGCAAACCAATAGATTAATCACCGGTAAGAAAATTCATATTTTATGCTTTCAACATTCTTATAGATCAACTTAATTGCGAACATATATGTGTTTGATCGGTAGTTATCTATTTACGATTTCTAATCGCAAAATACATTTGTACGAACAGTTTAAAAGTATTTGTAGTCTGTAAAAAGTCATAAGGAAAGTTCTCAAAAGCAGAGTTGACCCAAAACAAAGCTATTTAGTTAAAAATAATAAATCGTAAATAATATAGTATTTACAACGTCAAAAGTTAAGCCATGTTTTTAAACTCTAAAAAAAAGTATAAGTTTGGTCTGACGCACGAATGCTGGCGGAAGGCCAGCTTCCGTTGCCCCATTCAGCTTCACTTCGACAATGACCTGACTATATAAATACTACACAAAACATATATTGCAAATTGTTTTTAACAAATCTACGCGCTAATGTTATTACGACGTTCTATTTACACGTTTTAAATTTTGACATCGACAAATTGTTGCGGCCAATTGAAAAGTTTAATTTAAAAACACATTACAGCTATTTGTATTTAAAACATACACATAGTTGTTAGACCAACTTATTTTTAATATATATATTCGGTAGTGGGCTGATCGGTTTTAAAGAAAGCTTAACAATTCTTATCTCGAACCTAATCTGTTTCGCTGGTTTTTTTTTCTTCTGCTTAGCAAAAACATTCTGGTATTCTTATTGTAACTGTATTTTATCTTGTATATTTAATTGTACTTTTTAATATTTCTTTTGTAACATATGTTTACCTAAACATACATTTTAAATAAAAGAGTTTGTAACATATACCGTAGATCTAGAACTATGTATGAAGTGGTAAACTTTACTAAATAATAACGCGGAATGGAATTATTCGACTGTAATTCGCTATTTCGTTATAATATTCTCTATTATTTACGGACTCCTTAAAATTACATTGGGATAAACTCGTATGATTTTAAACAAATAATTTAAAAAATTAAGTGGAAAAGCGTATTTCTTCTGATTGCGTAGGAACGCCTCAATCTTCTTAGAAATTGAGCAATACAAAGTCAGGTGACTCACACAATAAATGTCACATGTTTCTTCGCTGAACGTATTAAATATGTATTTGGACAATATACCCATCAGTTGATACGTTTTGGCAGATATTTTACAAAAGCAAAGAAATAAACATTACATTTTTTAATCAGACCGCTTTTACCAGACCCGACCTACTTTATCTTAATACATTCCAAAATAACCAAAGAATTTTCGTACGAGAGACAGTGCTTAATGTTTTTCCTGTGTTTCTGTGTGTTGGTTAGCTACGCGGTCCAACTTATTGAACCATTGGGTTAAGATCGGCGTTTCTATGGGCCATGGCTTATATTCGTTGAATATAAGATTATTAAGGCTAAATAACAGTAGCCTTTGGAGTAGAATTTGGTGACATGGGTTTCAAAATTAAAGACATTAATGAAAGTGCGCTTCTTTCATATGATTCAATTTTCATGTTAATCCTGGTACGTACTTCGTCTATATACAATTTATTTTTATTTGCCTAAGTAATTAGTATTTATTTAATTAATATTTTAATAAAGAGAAAACAAATATAAATAATTTGTACAACTAAAACAATATGAAATTATATTTCCTTCGTATATTTTAATGTGGTCGAAAAAACCAATTGACCAGTCTTGTTCTCTTTTAACGAAAACATGGATGAAAAACTACTACGCCAAGTTCGTAGTTACGTACGTAAGTACGTATTCTTAATTTAAATAATTTTGTACCTTCGACTGTGCACAAAGTGTTTCAAAAAGTATAGATGTATATATACTATGTATTGTATATCTGTGGGGAAAGGTGTGGGCAGTTGTAGACATACATAGGTCAGGTTGGCACACCCCGATGTTTACAATTTGTTTTTTATGTTTGGCCGGATATCTCTATTTTCGTGTTTTACGTATTACACTTATCAATGCAATAATATTTACGAACAAAACCCTAATGGATTTCTGCCATTCTGCAATGCGTTTTTGTTTTCCATTATCCAGAAACACGTGTTGAAACGGCTTTATTCAATTTTTTGAAGTGAAACTTCTTTATCGAGGTTGGAAAAATATTTAGTGTAACATTTTTTCGTTACGCGTCACATTTTTCGGCCATGTTGCTTTTTGAAGTCAAACTTCTTTATCGGCGTTGGAATGAAACTTCTTTACCGACGTATGGGAGAAATTTTATAGCAAATCGTCACGTTTTTCAATGATAGTAATAATTCTATTACAATTAATGAAATTCTATAATAATCTTCGTAGTAATAAGGTAAAATGAAATATTTGTATTCATGTCTATGATAATAAAAGCCTTTTGTTAAACTTTATCTAATTTAACGAATTTCATATAGTAGATCATTTTTCGAAAAATAAGATCATTAAAAGAAGTTTCACTTCTTACGTGTGTACACCTAGTACACGCACAATTTATTTTTCTTATTCGACACGTAGCGATTTAGCCTTATATTTTCCGAGAATAGTAGTTTCCTAGCACAAAAACAAATCCACGAATTGATCTCAGTAGCTCATTTTTGTAGCCTACACGGAAAATGTTGCAAAAAAATGGTATAAATTTATTAGTTTCATTAAGATAACATAGATACTTACTTCGTGCAATTTTCACGACCGCTGGATACCATCTAGCAGGGTACCGATAGTTTGCAGAGATCAAGATAGGTACTACGAAGCAAGTATATGCAGCCATCAACCAGGCGCCTCCAAGGGCCACAAGTAACCCACGAGGTGCCCAATATGGTAGTAACATTACCAGAGAAATAAGCCACACTGAAAACATTATTAATTTACGCTTAATTTTGTTAACCATTAAATATAATTATTTTTATATTTACGAAAAAAAATGTGGTTTCTATAGGACCATAAAGAATTAAGTATTTAAATTTTAAAAAATAAGCTAAGTTATAAGTATTAGTAAGATTATTTCAGTCAATTATTTAATTTTCTAAAATAAACCCATTGTAATATACTTCTTGATTGTAATATTTAAATACAAATAAACATAGCAAATCAAATCTTTATTAACATTTGCGCAATACTTAAAGTAAAGACAATAAGCCAGAAGAATTTTTAAATATCATTGAATATACGTACCTACGTATAAAAATGTATTTATAAAACAAAGGAAGCACTACCGTAGCAAGTATCTGCCTATTTTCAAAGTTATACTTGTATACATACCAATATTTGCAATTTTATCTTCAGACTTCATTTGAATTTTCGAGAAAGAATCACTTCTTATTCGCCCGCGTACCCGAGATATCATTCCCATTTTAACAAACAAGAAAAGTTACTTTATTCGAAACGCAACACAATCAATAATTATACTTGCAAAATAATTCACACACGGCTGAATTGGGCAAAATATAACGTATGAATGCAAAATTGGGCGGGCGCACAAGGGCGGGCGGCCTTTGAGCGCAAGAGCACACACTGAACCGTGAACTCACGTACAGTGCCAATTTATGCGAGTTATTTTTCATATCAAACACTGTGAATGTACCCATGTTAACGCCGACCAATTCGTATGAAAAATAATATTGATCGTTGAAAGTCGAATTAAACGTATTTTTACCCTAGTTCAATAACATCGGCAGATATTATTTTTATTGTGAACTCTGGAAGTTCATGTTAAATCGCAGTTTAAAACAGATTAATGTTTTGAAAAGCAAATTTAAAACTTCTAACGGTATTTGGTTAAACAACGGTGCTAAAAGCCTTTGTCTTGGGCTCAAATTTCTGTATCTGTTTAATGGATATTTTTTACTATATGTACTATATGTACTGTATGTCTAACCCTTGTCGTCAATATATTTGACGTGCTGGTGAATTATTCCTTTACCGTATGACCAAATACTAATTGCGTATTGTATATACAATCCAAGATACACTAATAGATAACGCAACAAATAAAGTAATGATACGAAATTCATCAAAACATACTCCATCAGTTTGCCCGAAACAAAAGGATTCAATAATAAACCACACAATAATATAACTTCAAAAGTATGTCATCTACGTATATAAGGATAAAAATAAAATGCATTATTAATATCAAATATAACTCGCATTAGATGATGCATGTATGCAATGTTGTTTACGATTCGGAGAAAGATATAAACTTTCTCTGGAATTGCTCTGTACTTAAAATTATCATAATCTAATATATAAAATTCTCGTGTCACAATGTTCGTTCCCATACTCCACCGACACGGCTCGACCGATTCTTATGAAATTTTTTACGCATATTCAGTAAATCTGAGAATCAGAAAACATCTATTTTTCTTCCCCCTAAATGTTAAGGGTGGTTTTTAGACAATTTTTTTTGTTTATATTTTTATGATACAGCATACAAAAATACATACAACCCTTAATTTTCACCCCTCTACGATCAACACCTATTTTTTATTTGTTAATTAAAAACTTATGACTTGAACTCTGAGGTTTATAAAAAGAAAAATCACAGAAAAACCTAAAAAGTTTTGCATTCCGGAAAACCGAACAGTCTGGGGTAAAAAAATGTTCCATGTTGGTATGTATTAAAAAGGTAGGCTAAGTAATATCACATTTAGGACAAACAAAGTTCGCGGGGGCAGCCAGTTATAATATAAATTTGATAGTAGCACATTTTGCACTAAACTACAACTACAACTGTATGATGGAATGTCTCTATTCTCCATTCACGTCTATGGTCCGTAGTAATTCTTAGAGGTTATATTGACCGATGACATTTATCACCTATTAACGCAATTTTATTTTCCAAAACGAAACGACTATTCAAAATAAAGTAGTCAAATAATGGACGGTTTAATATGATTTTGAGCCACATCAGTCCCGTTTTTGCAGGTCTCCAAATGTCTCCTATTCTCTACCTCCTACTAGTAAGCGCTGGTTGTATGGCCCACTACAGAGGCTACCAGGGCCGTAATCTTATTGAAAAGGAGGAACGCCACCCAAACGAAGGGTAACCTCGATGGATATTCAAAGCTTTTGAATTATTTTGCAAATATTTTTTGGGTGCTTTATAATTGTTGTGTTAGACGTTGTTTCAATATATAGAAATACTGGTATGTATTATCATGTTTATATTAATTATTTGATTTAGCATTAAAATAACTACAGTAAAAATAAGTGTCTTGACTCCTTTTCTTATATACACTTAAGAATTATATCTTTCACGTATATTTTCCATGAAAGACCACTGTTAAAATAGTTATATGGTGTAATTTTCAGAATTCTGGTAGAATGTCCCGTATGTTATAACGCCCCATGGCAGTTTAACCCGGACAATGGAAACCCTAAATGCAATATTACGATCGGCACTCAGAGGTATAAAAAATGTGACCGAGGATCATACTTCAACGAAGTATGTGGCCGCCGGGACTGTTACAGGGTAAGTCAAATGAATTCCCTTCTGTCTGTTCGAAAAAAGGAAATGCCCAGAAAAAATTGTTCGGCGAAATAAGTTATTTATTTGAGTGACCTTCTAACCTTCTATAGCTATTTCCAGGGCCGGATTGAGGGAAGATAGAGATAGACCCCACAATAAAGACTTCGGAAAAAATGTTTTAAATTCCGACTAGTAAATACTAGTAAACAACTTTTATTTTGATATATTTTTAAACGTTTGCTAATTACTAAAAGAATCTACTTGGTTTCATAATAAATTATTGATTGAAAAACTCGACTGAAGTTTTTTCTTTCATTTTGTTGGGAAAATAATTTTGGTCCAGGGGGCCTCTACTCCTTTGTTACCCCGAGGCCTCTAAATCCGGCGCTGGTTATTTCAAGGCATTGTGGAATAGGAGAAAAACACACAAACACGTATTGGTTTTTTATTTCCAGGGGCCCGGTGAACCATGCACTGAGAAAATGGAGGAAGACGAATATGGAGCAAAATGCGCCTTTGGCTACGACTGTGATTTCTCATACCACGTCTGCACTGGCATAGGGTATTCAATCAGCATTCATGACCGTCTGTCGTTTCCGCGAATGTATCCTTTGCGGATAAACGAGGGGGAAAATCAAGCAAAATCTATGTTACTAACTTGAATTATCCAAATTAATTAAATAAATGAACCAACATAATGCTATGTCTGCCTATTAAGTAATTATTAAAGATATGAAATGGTAAAGATTTTTAATTTATATAGTTCTTCCTGAAACGATAATCTATTAAAATACTAGTTTAAGCTTGTGATTGGCACAATAAGTTCACTACAGTAATGAAATCTTTGTAAAATCTATTCGTAATGTTAAAAATATTGTATTTCAGTTTTGATTAAATGAAAGTTAATAAGTCGTAACTTTTCCTATAAGTACAGTGACTATGATAGTATTTTCCTTCCCAACCTTATTTTACTCCTTATGTCAGTTAAGCTACAATTTTTACTCGGAATATTTTACATAATACTTTACACTCCAGATAACGACACAGATTTTCAAAACATCGTCACCCCCACTTTGGGACGGGCCTAGCTGAGACAGGGCAGAGAAATAACTACTCACTGAATTTTTTGCAATTTGCGGTACACGATTCAATGGGATTTTGGCATTAGTCTAAATGTCTTTAGAACAGGATTTTTTTTTGACCAACTAATAGTATTACAGTTTTTTACCGAAGCCTTTGACCGTCCCTTGGGCTATAAGTAGTTATATAATTGTATATACTACATAATTTATTTCTTATTGTCTTTTTCAGTGGTATATCCACTATCATGTGCTGAATATTTATGTATATCATATATGCGAAAATTCTAATAGATAGTACTTTATTTAAGTTACTTGAGTTGACAGTAAGAACAGATACATTTTATTAGTAAATACTAACCATCTCATACTCTGTTAATACGCGTACCAGTCCGCTGTCATTAATCCGGTGACAACTGACTGTAAACTATGTGTTTTGATATTCTAGTTCACATTTTTTCAGTTTTCACATGACATTCGAAGTGAAAGTACGTATTTCGTGTTGTGCGTGCAAGCCGATTACTATGTTACTGTTTATTTTTTAGAAGATATATAATTAGTTCTACTTTAGACAATGTTCTAATCTCAGTAAATATTTTAATAATTCCTCAATTTTAAATATACTCTTATTATTCAGTTTTAAGAAAAAATCACTGGCAATCTCGGAAAGAAATTGTTTTCGTAAACCATTTATCATAATATTTAAAAGCTTAAGCTTTTAAAAAAAAATTACGTTATAAGTGGATTTTGTTAATCATAGTGAAAGTGTTAATATAAAATAACTATGGAAAGTGCAGAAATAGTTACCAAATTAAAACTTTTATTTGAGCGAATTGCTCAACCTGATTATATTATGGAGCACTACTATGCTGATAGTTTTTTCATTAAATTAAATTCCAGTGATCCAGGTAAGAAGAGAATCCAGTTACTGCTTTACGTTAGAAATGTACTGTCTAGGTTAATTTAATTTACCATGTTAATAGATGAAATAATAGGAAAGAACTCGACAGGGAAGGTCGAGGCTAAAGAGATTACTTTTTAATGCATATAATAAATTTTTTAATGCTTTAATGCATATGTAGAATTATTTTCTAGCTGTATTAATAATTTCATAATATGTGAGACAGTCTCAAATAAAGGCTAGTAAAACCATGAGACATTACTATTGCAAAATAAACTTAGTCATCTGATAAAAAATCCAACATTTAATAAATAAAGTAAATATATAATTTAATTAGGTTAAGTACGTCATGTATCATTTATAAAAATAGTGATATAAACGTTTATTTATTTATTTATTAACACTTCGTTGCATATACATTAATATAGTACAATTGACATAAATTAAATAAAAAGGAGAGCAACTGGCGGCCTTATCGCTTTCGAGCGATCTCTTCCAGGCAACCACTCAAGTCATTAACACATTTTGCTAACTTTTTACTACTTGTATCATTGTAAGACATAAAACTTGATGCTGCTCAATTTATCAAGCTTTTTCAGAAATACTTTAAAAGTGTTTTACCAAATTATAATTGCTGTTTGACTACGTAGTCAATTCTATTACTAACGTGATTTTAAAACTCCTGTTTTGTTTCAGATGTGCAATACTTGAAATCATTGCCAATGTTGGCAGATATGATGATAGCAGCATTTTATCGGACTGACAATTACCATGTCTCGGTAAAAGTGTTTCTTATAAGACTGCTTGCTTTTATTACAAGTAATGAAGTTAACTTTGCAAAATTTAGTGCTAAAAAAGGAGATGATTTGGCTAAAGCCTTTGATCTGATTAATTCCCCAGAC